TATTGGGAAGAAGAGTGATTAGGCAAATACAAAACTGTATGTTTTTAACAGTCGTCCACTTGGAATATGAACTAATTAAAATATTAGGGATATTTACCAAGATTTTTTTAATACTTGGAGTGTCTTCCTCCTGCTCCACTGTTTTTTTGACCTCTAACTTTCATCAATAATCCGTTGGCATTCTCATATCTCATCTTGCTAAGCTGCTGGTCTTTCCAGCCAAAGTTTGTTTGTGTGTGTATGTGCGCGTGAGTGCACATACATGGCATTTTCCAAAGTTACTGGGCACGTTGAGTTATCTTCAGCACTGTTGTTCTCTTTGGATCCATCTGGATAAACCCAATCCCCTTTTGGCGGGACATCAAAATTGGGCTCTCTTCTAGGAAGTCTAAAGTTCAATCTGTAACTATCCAATTTCCAAGGCTATTTTGGCACTGGCCAAGGTTACAGGATGATGTACTTTCAATAACTGAAGCATCTCTTATTATTTTACAAAGCCATGCTCCCTCCGGCATATTCAGTGAAGAGAAGCTGTTCATTTTCTTTTCTGACTTCTCTTACTTTGGTGATAGATTTGTGTTACATCCTAGCAATCCAACTATTAAAAGTATAACTTGGCTACTGTATATGTGTTGGGCTGTTTAACTATGATATATGTCATTTGAGTGCATCCAGATGTTGCACACCGCTTTGCCTAAATAATCCAGTATTTATTTACTTATTTTCATGTATATTCATCCAGTTCTCAGTGGATACAATGCGATGCATGCATCATAATCAATATGACTTTATGGACTGAAAATGAAGAAGTCAGTTGATCATTGTCCTAGACATACACAGTGGTGCTTAGAAATGTGTGAACCTTTTTGAATTTTCAGTATTTCTACATAAGCATGGCCTAAAAATGTGATGTGTTCTCCAGACAAGTCCTAAATCTAGATAAAGAGAACCCAATTAAACATATGAGTCAAAAACATACTTGTTCATTTATTGAGGAAAATTATTCAGAATTACGTATATGGCAAAATATGCGAGGCTCCGGGATTATCAGTTTATTTGAAGGGGAAATTAGAATCAAGTGTTTCATTGGGAGGATAATCGGGGGTGAGTGTGGGAGGTCCTGTCTTATTTAAAGAATAGAATTCTGGCTATTCATTCTCAAAGTCTGACCTTCACCACATAGGCATGTGGAAGCTTATGGAAGCTCAATCAAAGAGATTTGTGGGGACCTCTGAAAAATGCTCACCAGGTTACAAAATTACTGCCAAAGTGTTCGGACTCCACCAGTCCATTATCTGGCAGATTGTGTACAAATAGAGTCAATTCAACACCAATGTTACCCATCCCGGGAGTGGTCAACCAAGAAAAATTACACCAAGAACAAGATGTGTAAGTTTCAAAAAACCCCAGGTTATCATCCAAGGAACTAGTGACTTCTTTTGCATTGGCAAATGTCAGTGTTATGAGATTATCATTAGGAAAACACTGAACAACAATGGTGTGCTTGACAGGATGGCAAAGAAAAAGTCACTGCCCATCTACAGTTTGTGAAAAACCACATGGAAGACCCAGAAGGCTGTTAGAAGGAAGTTCTGTGGACACACATTTCAGCAAGAGTTTTAGCTAGAGTACCCCAGAAGAAATGAGAAAATGGGTGTCTCCTTGTTTTTCTACCATCAGGCCTCTGACCCACTCCAGTTTAGAGGGGTGGCCAAAAATGAAGCAATTGCTCTCTGATTTCTATAAATGTACTTCTAGAGCGCTTGATAATAAAAAGATGTGCAATTATTTTTTGTTCAGCAACTATCCCAGTTTAAACATTATTCTCTTTTAATTTAATTTTAATCTCTTTAGTGGAGATTCATGAAAAAAAATGCTGCTAGTGTCCATTCCAAAAAAACAAAGAAACAGGTTTGGTTGTTGAAAAGGATGCTGCAATTTCATTGTCGTGTGGGATTAAATTGTGGATCATCTTTGAGTACACATGGAAACTTTCCTTCTCCTAATTTCAAGCTCATTTGAAATTTGCTGGAACCAACGAGAAACAGAGTAGAACAAGCAATAGAATTGATTCCAGTTCTATTTAGAACTGGAAATTTAGAATTTATATAGCTAAACTAGAGCCTGAAGTTCAAAAGGCAAGATTTATGTGTTCTGAGAAGTACCTTGGTTCCTTCTGGGATAACAAAGATTCTGCTGAGGTGTTAGTTCTTACCATGAGGGCCATGGGTGAACCCTATCCCTTCAAAGCATGCTGACAATGCTTGATTCATCATATGACAGCCACATAATGCAATGAGAAGGTCTGTACCCAGGAGATCTTCACATATATAGCTATATACGTGCAGCTTTTCTTCCTTTGGAAAGATAACACATGTTGAATTCCCTTGCTGATTACACCTCACCAATGTGGCTTAAGAGAGGGACATGGTTCCTATTGCTTGTGAGTGAACAGGGCTTTGCTCACCCAATCTTCCAGTCCCATTGACTGAAACAGCTGACTTTAATTTCCCCTTCAAATGAGCTGATAATCCTAGAGCAGTGATGGCGAACCTTTTAGAGACCGAGTGCCCAAACTGCAAGCCAAAACCCACTTATTTATCACCGGGTGCCAGGCGGGCGTGGCCCACTGGGTGGGCGTGGCTGTGGTCATGGCAGACTTGGTGGGTGTGGCCAAGGTGGGTGTGGTCACCTTGATGTTGCTCGTGGGGAGGGATGCCTGTGGGGGCCAGGCAGGGTTGGGGGAGATCTAGGGGGTCTCTAGCAGGTGGGGCAGTGGGCAGGTGCTATTGCTGCAGGGCAAGGCGAGGCAGGGGCCGGGGTGGCTGCTGCCTGACATTATCGCCCCCCACACACAGAGGCCAGTGAGCACATGGGGGCCGACAGTGTCCGTCAGCAGCCACAGCCTGCTGGCCCCTCAACCAGCGCTCTCTGGGGCTCCACAGGCCGCTGCCAGAAGTTCAGAGAAGCCGCCTCTGAGCTGGATGGACAGCCGACAGCTGAGGAGGCGATGCAGTGGGTCGTGCCCGGGAAAAGGAGAGCATGCGAGGCCAGGAGGGATGGGAGGGGGGAAGGGAAACCAGACATGCTGGGATGCATCTGGCTACGTGGGACCTCGGCAAGTTAGCAGGCGGCTGGTTGAAGAGGGATGGTTGCCATCTCCAGGGCATGGTGCGTGTGCCCACAGAGAGGGCTCTGAGTGCCGCTTCTGGCACGCGTGCCATAGGTTCGCCACGACTGTCCTAGAGATTCATGTAATTTTGACATACACAAATATATAAACCTGGACCATTCTCTTGACTTAAATTGTTTAATTGGGTTCTCTTTATCTAGTTTTAGGACTTGTGTGGAGAACATACCACATTTTAGGTCATATGTATGCAGAAATATTGAAAATTCAAAACTTTTAAGCACCACTGTACATGGACTTGTACAGATAGTTGTCAGGAATCAAATCTAATTTGAAAGCACAAAACCCCAAAATAAAACAATGCAGTCATGCTTTAAGTCAGGTGACTGTTGCTGACTTTTAGGGATGGTATTTGATTGAAAGGCATGTGTCTTGGGAAAGTTGGCTGCCAATTAAGAAAAAATAGCATAACTCATTATAACACAAGTCAGTTGAGCTCTGCTTAACCTTGAGTATATTTTTTATGATGAGCAGGAAACACAGTATAAGATAAACAACTTTGGTCTTAGGGAAAAAGGTCAAATAGCAATGAGATAATTTTCCCAGCTCAGAGATGGCTGATAAAGAGAACTTTGGGCAGCACAACAACATTGTCCTGAAAACAGTGCTATGTTTAATAGTTAACATATTGTCAATGGGTTAGAAGATTTGTTCAGTGGTATCAAATCTGTGATGTACTCCTGAGCTCAAGATGGAAAACCCGACAAGTGATGTATATTTTTAGGGAAACCATATTTCTTGCTGTTTTCCCAAAGCAATTTATTTAGATTTTTAATTTATATCATGTCCAATTAACATGTGCTAGGTAGTTTTTCCTGAGTATAATGTAGAACTATAAACAAAATTTTTTACACTCTTGGTGCCAAAAACTATGAGCAGAATGGAATATACTGTGATTGAGGATAAGTATCTATTTTGGATAAAAGAGAATTATATTGTAATCTGCTTCCTGCTAAGTATTTTACAGGTTAAATGAATGATCCTTAGAAAATTATGAATGCTATATTTATCACTTTAATATTCTATCAATATTGGGGCCACATTTTATAGTGAGAGAATTTGAGGGCATAATTTTAGCTTTAGAAAGGATTCTATCAATATAAAGAAAGAACTAGGTATGCCTTTGAGAATTTCAACATTAGTTTGTTTGTTTTTAAATTTTTTAGTGAGGAATATAAATGTCCACTTAGAGTAGACTAAGGTATCTAATTTTTAAATCAAGAGATTAAAATATAAAAAATATATGTAGTCTGCACGCATGTGTGTTATATTAAATATATAACTTTTGGGATGTTGATTAGCGCTGCCTAGATATCTAGGTGTTTATGATGTACAATTTTTCAGGAACCAGGAACTCTTCAAGCCAATTGCAATAAAATAAATTTACCAAATAGTGATTTTGACGATGGATAGCTACAATTTGTGGCCTCCTTCAAACAACATGCTAAGCCATAACTGATTTTGGTTCTATGCGATGTGCAAATCTCAGTTTGTACATTAATTCCATGGTTCAGTGGACTTAGAACCAGTGTCATTTAATAGTTAAGCAGTTGGGTTAAGACTGGGAAATTCCACATCAAATTCACTCTCAAGCGTGGTCACCATCTCTTATTCCAATCTTCGCTGCAGTGTCATTGTTAAACTGAACAGAAATCTCCCCATGTAAATTACATTGAAATTGTAGAAAAAAGTGGGATATAAATCCAAACATTTAAAACTAAAAATGAGACTAAGCTAATTTTGAATTAAAATTTTATGTACATGTAGCCTTATCCCTAATTTAAAATTTATATTGTTTTCTTCATACTAGGTGATGCTGGAGCAAATATCATCCATGTTTCCAAAGAGGCCCGGAAGAGGTTTCTTGGCCCTTTACACCCATCCTTCAACCTGGTGAAAATCATCCGTGCCTGCTTATATAAAACTTTATCAAGCAATGCACATGAGTTGGCCAACGGACGTTTGGGCATTTCATTAACCCGAGTTTCGGATGGAGAAAATGTCATATTATCTGAGTTCAACTCCAAAGAAGAGCTTGTCCAGGCAAGTTGTAACTTTAGGGCTTTCTAGGAGCTTTGAACATGAAGCCATAAATGCCTATCTCCAGGCGCCAGCAGAACTGATATGACCTGCTCTTGTCATGGAAGTTTGCCTTTCTTTCTTTCTTTCTTTCTTTCTTTCTTTCTTTCTTTCTTTCTTTCTTTCTTTCTTTCTTTCTTTCTTTCTTTCTTTCTTTCTTTCTTTCTTTCTTTCTCTCTCTCTCCCTCCCTCCCTCCCTCCCTCCCTCCCTCTTTCTTTCTTTCTTTCTTTCTTTCTTTCTTTCTTTCTTTCTTTCTTTCTTTCTTTCTTTCTTTCTTTCTTTCTTTCTTTCTTTCTTTCTTCTCTGCCTGGATTTATTATTTGCAAATACTGCAGGCTTCTCTAGTCAGTTCACTTATTTCACATGGTCTTTTCCCATCTCTCTCCCAGGCATGTGTCTGCAGCACTTTCATTCCAGTATACTGTGGCCTGATCCCTCCAAGTCTTCAAGGAGTGGTAAGTCAGCACCAGGGTGTTTTAACTTTCAGCTGTTTTGGTATTGTACTACAAGAGCCTGTTCCTGTTTTTCCTGCTTCATCAAGAGGAAAAGAGGAAACTTGGAGACTAGGGAAGGTGACATAATATGCTGCATAATTCTGGAAAAATGATCATAACAATGTACAGTTGTAATCAAATTATTCTCAAAGGAGTTGAGTTTTTTTTCTTGATTGCTGAGATCAAGCATAGGAAATCTGATATTTGGAAGGGGAAAAACAAAAAACCTAGGGGAGAAAACAGGACTATTTTCAAAAAAACAAAAAGAGGGAAAGAAGAAAAGAAATAGTATTATTTGTAGTATCACTTTTATGTTTCTGGACCATAATGTTTATAGGAATAATGTATTTTTAGCAAAATTTAACTTAGGTTTAGTAGAATGAAACCAAAATGTGTTGTTCTCAAATGTTTGCTTTTCTTTGTTGAGTAAGTATTGAACAACAGTTTTGGAGGAAAGACCTGTTGCCACAAAAAAAAATGTCCAACATTGGATTGAAATTGAAGAGCTACCTGGACTAGGTTGTCAATGACCAAACCTGGGACTTTGATGTCATAAAGGGAGCCCTCAGTGACCCTAGAATGGTCTTCAGCATTGCCATGAGTTTGTTTTAAAACTTGATAAAAAAAATTGGGCGTTGCCAAAGCAGAAAATAAAATATATTCTGCTAGGACTCGGAGAGAAGCCTGGAATGTATTTTTTTTTTTGGGGGGGGGGGGCTAACTTTTAATTAGTTTATCAGAATATAAAATACAAAGGAAAATAAAAATAATGGGAACTGGTGGCTGGGAAAAGGGAAAAAGAGAGAGTGGGGAGTAAAAAGGGAAAAAGAAAAAAAAAGGTGTTGATTTCCAAATTTCTTTAGCACAGTAGAAGATAATAACATTAAAACCTCAACTTTTTACTTTGATACAATAATATATACTAGCCATTTCTATAACAACAAACCTATCTAATTAGCAAAACCAAATTTTCATTTTTCCATCATGAGCTCAAAATCTAGAAGCGGTTTCCAAATAAAAACAAAATTAGATATACCGGTATTCTTTTCTTTGAACAAAGGAATCAATTTAATCATCTCTGTGTTTTTTCTTTGCTGTGGAAAATAATATATATTTGCTATTATTAATCGTTATAGATTATCATCATTTATATTAGCAAAATTCACTGTACTCTTTCAGTTTCTTTAATCTTAAAAGAAAAGAAATATTTTACATCCATTTTAAAAGTAAACTTTTAAAAAAATATTTGTAAAATCAACAAATTTTAATATGTTTTTTAAACTTCCTCTTAACATAGATACTATCAAATATACTTTCAATATTTTACAAGCTTTAGGAATTACTTAAGCATTATAATAAAGAAAAAAACACATTTTCAAACCCACTTTACGTTAAAACATATATCAGACTGGTAAAAATTCATCCTTACACTAATTAACTCATTAAATTTAAGTCACTCATTCTAGCTTATCTTCATAAAATAAAATCTTTTTCCTTTTCTGGAATATCTATCAAGTAATTATAGACTTCTCTTTTTCTCAAGGAATTCTCAACCTTGTTAGTATCCACGAAGAAAAAGTTCCAGACCTGCCTTCTTGAAAGTTTCAGATTTTCTTGGAATTTTTATTTCAATTGTGCTGGGAGGTTTATACTTAAACCATCATCACAGTAAAGATTGGTGTCAGATTTATATTCCAAAATTGCAATTGAGTCCTTTACCTTGTCAGCTACTTCTGAAATTGCCTCAGTGGTTTGATAACTTTTTACACATAATTGCATCTCTGAAGTAGTTTGACTGCCTTTTATTACATCCTTAGAAATAATTGATCTATAAAGTGAAGAGTTTTATTTAAGATGTTTTTAAACACATCACTAATAATTTGCTCAAATCCAAATGGAGCCATTTTGTTAACTCCTTGTTATCATCAAAGAGTAAATTTTTTGTAAGTCACTTAATAATTTCTGACCAATCAGAGTTTATAAAAATCGGAAAGTTTTAACCACCCACAGCAAAGCAAACCAAGCAACAAATTACTTAAAAATAGTAAAATAAAATGACAACTTTCTACTCTTACGTTTCTCCATCAAAGTTTTTTTAAAAAGATACTCCAAGCTTCCTTATTTTAGCTTGCCTTCAGCAATCCTCTTTTGTTGTTGTTTAACAATAAAGAAGTCCCCAAAATGGCACAGATCAAAAAAGACTAACAGACTATGGCTGAAGCTTCTTTTAACCAAATAAAGATGATAATTCCAAAAAGTGATTAAGAAATGAAAGGAACAACTTATTGTCCATTTGAAAAATAAATTCCCAGACAGCTGCTTTTTCAACAATAAAGTGATTGCAGCCACACATACCCCTGAGCTAAATCACTCACCAGATGCTCCAAAGCTCAGCATCTGAAGCTTCTTGCAGATCAATGCTATATGGAAGATCTTATGGGGTAATTCTAGGACTTTCCCTAACCCAGGAGAGTCATATAAACTAAAGGAATACCCGTTCCTTCTGTTAGTAAGTTGAAAAACTGTCAGTTTAGAGAAAACCCCTACACGGAGCCTTCCCAGGGCATATCGTCAATTGGCCCTCTTTCATCAAAAGTCAGAAACCTGGGCTGTTTCTTTGACAATAATGAGTCATTTCCATTTCCAGTCCTTCTGCTTGAAAAGATACTCTGAGGGTGTTACGGTAGGGTTATTATGCTTTTTCACTGTTAGTTGCATAGTCAGTGCTCTAGCATCAACACTGTCTGTAAAACTTAGATCAGTGATGGCGAACCTTTTAGAGACTGAGTGCCCAAACTGTAACCCAAAACCCATTTATGCATCGTCAAGTGCCGGGTGGGTGTGGCCCATTGGCTGGGTATGGCCAATTGGGTGGGCATGGCCAATTGGGTGGGCGTGGCTGCGGTGGTAACGGCAGACTGGGTGGGACTAAAAAGTTCAATCAATCAATTCCAACTTTGCAAGATCTTTTTTTTCCTGTGAGAAGTTGAAATTGATTGATTTACTGAACCTTTTTTTTTTGCACATGGCGGCGGAGGCCTAAAGCTAAAAGGTTTCATAAAACCCAGCTGAAGGCCTAGGACTGGGGCAACAGCTCGCGTGCCTACAGAGAGGGCTCTGAGTGCCACCTCTGGCACCTGTGCCATAGGCTCGCCACCACTGACTTAGATACTAAGCCAGCCATAGCCATTTCAAGGATGATCAGTGTTATTATTCCCACATTAAAAATGGACAGCTGAACTTGAAAACATCTGACCGCTTAAGCCTACATAGCTACATTAAGAACTTCACGGGAGAAAAGCCAGCTAGTTAAGGGAAAAGTGAAATAGTTCTGCCTCTTAATTGTGCCAATTCATACAAACAGACAGACAGTACAAACGAAGATATCTTACATTTTATTTGGTTAACTTACTATCCTGCCTTTCTCCCAGGAGCTCAAGAAAAATTATGTAGCAATATTTTATTTCCCCTCAATAAAAGCCCAATGAGATAGGTTAGAGATCATGACTGTTCTGAAAACTCCAAGTTAGCTTCTATGGCAATAAGGAAGGGTGAATAGTGCAGGAAACCTTGGGTGAATGCAGGAGGGAAGAGATTAATATAGACAGCATACCTTTGCATTGACATCCTAGGAGAGTCACTGTTTTAAAGATGTTTGAATTGCTTTGAAGGTGCAACTCACTTGGTCTTGACTAGTCAACGTTATAGTCTGAGTGGGAACCAAAGACAAATTCATACAGGAAGTTCTTGATTGCTTAATAACAGTTTGATGTTACAATGACTTGGAAAGGGCTTCGCTGCTCTCCCCCCCCCATGATCATGTGATAGTGATCTGGCTGCTTGGTAATTGATTTGAACTTATGATTACTTGCCAAGTGCCCTGTGATCATGTGATCACGATTCGAAGTCCTCTCTGCTAGGTTCCACAGAAATTTAATGGGTAAACCAGTAGGGAAGATTGCAAGCTACTGCTGTTGCCTGCCAAAAGATTTCCCCTCTGTGAATGGAGGAGAGGAATCCTTTGTTAGGCTGTAGAAACAAAGCTCCTAAAGATCCAAGCTTTATTTCTCCGGCCCAGTGCAGGAGTTCCCTTCCATGCATGGAGAGCAGCTGCCTGCTGTCCTGAGGTAAGATGCTGTTTTGCTCTGTCTGCTTAACAACTGCAACTGGGAAAGTTGGGCTTGTGATCGTTGAATGAATCAGTCACATGGACATCTTGATTAATGACTGCTTCGCTCAACAACCAAGATTCCGGGCCCAATTGTGGTTGTATGTCAAAGGCTACCTATAATTCAAGATGCTCCAGCAACCTAAAAAGTCAGCTCCCAATAAACTGGCATGATGCCAGTATGGGTAGGGCTTGGAAAGGGCAGTTGGGCCCACTACCAACATCACCCAACCCACAGACAATTTCACCATCTAGCCAGATTCTGTTCCTGATGTTATGTAAAAATATGAAGTAAAAGAAAAAAAATAATACAGGATTTTAAGCTGGTTGCCTCTTCTATCGATTCAGCTGTTATTCTTTGATTAAAGTACAAATGTAGAGGTTTTAAAAAGGGACAAAGCAGAAACTGATCTTAGCGTTAGTGCAAACATTTTGTGTAGTGGATGTTCCAACTGTAATTGTACACCTAGTACAGGGGTAGGCAACCTTGGCTCTTTTATGACTCGTGGACTTCAACTCCCAGAATTCCTGAGCCAGCCAAGGTTGCCTACCCCTGACCTAGTAGTTAATGTAGTTAGTGTAGTAGTTTCCTGGAACTGGCTTTGCAGAACATTATACGAACATGCTGGTTGCTGGAGAATATGGTGTGCTTCTTGTTCCTCTTCCAGTTGACTTCCACTCCACTTTGAACTTTCTTCTAGTTTTAATATTTGCATCATTTGATACACTTGAGATTCAGTTTGGCTCTAGACTATTGTGAGTTGGAGTGACAGATACATTTTCAAAAATAAATTTGTTTTTTTTCACTTCTAGAATGATTTGAGGTTAGGGGGATACTGTTTTGTCCTTAGTTGGGATCAGAGAGGTATTTACAGGCTATTCTATATTTGATGCAGGCATACCTTTTTTCCTTTGGTCTCAGTAGCATTAACCCGCTTAGCTAGCAACATAGTAAACTGCTAACTCTTAAACTGCCTAACAGTGGAATAATGGAAATCCTCACCCATCTGTCCACCCTGAACAATTCTCTGCTTAGAATGTTGCCAGTGGGAAAAAGCAAAAAGGAAAAGCACTTTTGATTTTGGTTTTCTAATTTCAATACCCAGTTCTACCCAGGCAGATTCTAAATAAAAATGCTGCTTAGCCATATCTTTTTGTGGTTCCATTTAAAATAATAATAATTCAGCTTGAATTACTACAGAATGAAGGGTAGGAGGAGAAACACAAAAAGGAGATATGACAACAAAACATTATTTCCAAAACATATCCCTTCCCTGCTGCACTATCATGATTGGCAGATGATCTTCCCCTAAGCTGGTGATGTATTGAAGAGAGTGGGCAGTGAAGTTGGAAGACTCAATCAATTGCTTTGCCTATCACATCCAGTACATTCAAAACCTGAACAGAACCATTTATTTAGCAGTGGGTCAGAACAGGGGCAGTAGAGGAAGGATACAGATTGGTCTGTATAAGTTTCTGTTGACTCAAGAATGGATGGATGGTATTTTAACTCAACAGTGGGGAAAAGTTTTTACTGAGTATCTTCTGGACATGTTCTTTTCTTTCCAGAGCCGCTTAAGTACAGTAAGTTATATTTTTGCCCTTTGGAGAAACACTCTCTTGATCTCTGGCGGTCAAACATCTTGATGTCATTGGTTAATACTGGTTATTATGGATATTTGAAATTAAAGGGGTCATGGCTATTTTGGCAGCTTTAGCAAATTGGTGGCTCTTTACATTTAAGCCATGGTACTGATTCTGAAATTTTAGAATTCCTAATGGGAATCTATTATACAATAAATGTTTATTACTTCCTGAGCTGCAGGAATGCATATAATGGAGAAGCTGGCTTGCTTTTGAAACTATAACATCAGTAAATCATCTCAACATAGTAAATGGGGTGATTTTTCTTGCATTTAGATATGATTACTACAGAGCTAGTTTTTCCGTGTAAGTTATTTCTCCCCAAGCTTGGCATTGTTTTGTTTTTCATGTGGTCATATTCTGGGCGTTAGTTTTTCTTTTTCTATAAGCAATTATCCATATTGCATGTGACTGTATTCTGTAATACATTAAGTGCAACTCCTGATAGCATTAAACTCTTTTAATTAAAGCCAATGGAAAAGGGAACTGCCCAATAACCACTCACCCAAACCAGACAGAACTAAGAATTATGCTATTTCAGAGCCCAGTGTGATTCATTCAGATGCAGTGATAAATCAAATATGCCTCATTATAGAAAAATGAATGGCTTTGAGTCAGATATGTGTGCTGCTTATCTGTCTGATCCTCCATTGTTGAAACAGGAAGAGAAACTTGGAAGGCTATGCTTCTGTTTAAACACATCATAGCTGAGAGATTAATCTTGCCCACATTTATTTTTATCCACAATTAAGAATAACTACAGTGTGAGGTTCAAGCACAACATCAAACCATGGTTGCTTGGATACTTTTTCCCCGATTTCAGTCTGTACTAGCCAAATGGAGGAAAACGCTGGGGCCATTAGAAGAGTATACAAGAATCTGAAGCTCATGCACAGTGTAAAAGTATCCTGTCTCTATATTTGTGGGTTTGTGCAGTATGTGCACAAGATAGAAAAAGCATGTAGACTACCATATTTTTTTCTTTAATTTGTTGTCATTTTTGTGGCCTGGAATCTGTAGAGGAGGTCAGCATGGGGTTTTTTTTGTTACTTCCTAGAACATAAGTGAAAGGCCATGGATTAAAAAAAGAGATGTATTTATTTAGGTTGTTACATAAAGTTGCTAATAATAAGAGAAGTGTGGGGACTACTCATTATTTCAGAAAAATGCTTTCATCACCTCTTCCTCATCTTATTTTTCATTTGAGAACAGGATTCAGAAGCTACCCAATCCTACACCCTACTAGATAAAACAGGATTAGTAAAACAGGACCTCATTCGCTAAAAAATGCAGAAATATCTATTGATTTATTGAGGAGTGAAAAAAAAACCCTTAATTCCCTTGACTTCTTGATTCCACAATTGTACATTCCTTAACTATAATGACCCAAATGATGAATTATGTATTGTGATGTGATGATGCAAGATAGGCCTTTTTGTACTTGCATTGCGACATACCTTGCCCTGCATGACATTACAATTAATGTTTTATCATTTGCTCAACTTTCCCTCCTCCCAGAGATGGTTTTGCTTGATGCTCTAGTAAGCTGTAAGCTGTACTATATCACCAAATAACTATACACACCATTGCATTTTCAACTATCTATGTCAGGGGTGTCAAACTGGATGGCCCGCGGAGCGGTTGCATCATGCAGAGGTGCGCCCAACTCAGCTCTGGCAATGCGAAAAAAGTCATGATACATTGCGACATGTCATGTGACGTGGCGAGTTTGACACCCGTGATCTATGTGCATTTAGAGATCTGAGGAGGGAAGAACAGACTGGGGACTATAAAAAAGACAGGGGGAGGGGGAAGAAAAAAGCTAACACATTTTCTTTTTTCCCCAGAGATATGTTGATGGAGGGATTTCTGACAACCTGCCTCAATATGAGTTGAAGAATACCATCACTGTATCCCCTTTCTCTGGGGAGAGTGATATTTGTCCACGGGATAGTTCCACCAACATTCATGAACTCAGAATCACCAATACCAGCATTCAGTTCAATCTGCGCAACTTGTACCGCCTTTCAAAAGCCCTGTTTCCTCCAGAGCCCCAGGTGAGCCCTCTCCACCACGATAGACACTTTCAGTTTTTTATTTCAATAAACGGAGAGCCAGTATGATATAGCAGTTAAGGTACTGAATTCAGAGTGTGAAATTCAGGTTCTAAGCTTCACTTAGGCGTTGAAGCCTAAGCTGGGTGATTATTTACAGTACCAGACTGCACTAGATCAGCAAAGAAAATTATGATTAATAATCTTCAGTAAAGAGGCCTTCATCCTATGGCAGATTGATACCGTATTGACATCGTTGTTGTTGATTTTCTATCTTTCATAGTTCATAGTACTTTAGGAAATTTCTCATAGCTATAATCTACTGCCAATCATCTCTCTCATGACTTCCCAGTACAGTTAGCCTGCATTTTTATAACAGCATAATCCTCTGTTGGAGGTAAGTCCCTGTCTTTAGTGGAGCAAGGAACGCCTGTACTTGCCAATGCACAGACATCACATACAGAATTAACATGTTGAGAAAACACATGACTTTGATACAAGAAGAAAATATAAATTCTTCCTGTAGCGCTAGCAGAGAGATGGGAAAGAATTCCAGAAGCTCAGCTTTTCCTTTAGAAGGTGCTGAAGACAATTGTTCAAACATTGTTAAGTTGGCTCATGCTGAAAAGTCATGGGACAATAAGCCTTCAGTAGTTTGGAAACACTGCAGCTGGAGGGCAGCTGTTTCATTCCAATGGCAGAAAAATGGGGGGGAAAAAGTTTGCAGAATTGGCAGAAACTTTACTGAGTTTCTTTCTTCCCCATGGAGAAAGAAGACTTTCACCAATTCTCTCTTTTCACATGGAGTCCCATTTTGGGACCAGACCTGACATGTTTACTTGGCTTCCCTGAGGCTACACCATTCTTTTCATGACCATTCTGTTAATCGTGGCTTTTGCTTCATCCCAACTTGTCCAGAGAATATGGATTAGGGCCACTTTGCAAAATGAAATAGCATCCCTGTCTTCCTATAACTTCCTTAATCAGCAATGCAACTTTAACTGTGTTTCTATCTGATCATGCCCAGTCTACCGTGATTACTGGCCAAGTCTGATGCAGATGGTTTCCATTGGAGGTCCCTCTTTCTTCCAAGGGCTACATTTGGAGATACGGATTCTTCCCTCTGCTGAAGTCTGTGGGCATGCTGGTAGGGCAGTGTTTAGACGTCTTACAGCTAATTGTAAGTAACATGCTGCTTCTCTCTCTCTGCAGGTTCTCCAGGAAATGTGCAAGCAGGGCTACAGGGACGCCCTTCACTTTTTGAAGAAGAATGGTAAGCTCTTAATAGTTTTGCATTCTCTAGGAAAAGTGAATCTCGTGTCAGGTGTTCTTTTCTCTATTTCTAATAGAGTATTAAAAAGGAGAGCCTGTCTTGCATGTATATCATCCTGTCTAGTCCCTTTTTGCTGTGTAGAAAATGTGCAACGCTTGCAGTCCCCTTTGATGAAAACAACATTATTTGGACACATACATGGTTTATGGATGTTAGTGCTCAAATTTAAAAAATAAAAACTTTCCCACTCAGCCAAAAGGTAGGAGATCAGTCAAATTACTACAAAATGAATTTCCAAAACTGATATTGCTTATTGCTTAATTGAAGTTTAGTTCTTTTTCTGTTCTATATTATTAAACAACTGACTCAATGTTTTATATGCTTTTGCACAAATCGAGATGCATTTAAATGAAAACTTCCTTTTTGAATGGTAGGCATCTGCAAATTTTGTATTTGTGCATAGAGATACAATAGGAAATATTACTGGTCAGCGAATTGTAGACAAATTTCCTTGAATGGAAGTTGTGGGAAAGTATGGCGATGTATTATGCAACTTTTGCTGTACGGTTTATTCAAAAATAATTGTAAAGCATTCTTATAGAAATGGGGTGGTATGCAAAAAATATGACCAAAATTAATTATACTGATAAAAACAATAAAAACAAATTTATATACAATTCAAATAATATTACCGGCTAGAGTCCATAATGTAATCCTTGGGATTTTGCTGATCTATACATCTCAGAAACCCCTAGCAACATGCCAATACTGAGGGACACTATATTTTCCATATTTTCTCTACGGAGGAAGAAATTCAGACACAACACAAAAACATTTTCTCTATTTAGTTGCCATGTCATGCACTCTCCTGGCAGAGATGCTATCTGCTTCCAGAGGTGCCTAAGTGGTATTGAAGGAGCATCTTGTCTAACTGAAAGTCACCTGATTCTGTAGAACTCTTACTTAGGTTGCCTGGCTAATTCTGTAACTGCAATATATTGTCTGTCTCTATAGCACCACCTAGTGGTGCCATATTTCTCATGCAACCATTTTATTCACTGAATTGTTTTCAATCCTGGCAACATGCTTCTTATACCTGCAAGGGGACTCATGCCATTGTTCGTTGTAAGCTGAGATTAAATAACCATAATGATACATTCTCAGCCTAATTGCCTGTATTAATCCCAAAGTTTTCTTAGGATATGATGTACAGATTTCTGTCCTCTTAAGAGCAGAGCTATAGAGTCACTAATTGAATGATACTCAGCTGAATGCCCAGGTCTGATTTTTATATAAAGACAAATTATAAGCTATTGAGTTTCATCTATTTTGCTTCTAAACGGGGGTAAAGATAATTGTACACCTGAATATCCTCTCCATCTGCATTTTTTTTTACAGAAGGATCTACACATACTAGCACAGTGATGGTGAACCTTTTAGAGACCGAGTGCCCAAACTGCAACCCAAAACCCACTTATGCATCGTTGAGTGCCGGGTGGGTGTGGCCCATTGGGTGGGCGTGGCTATAGTGGTAACAGCAGACTGGGTAGGACTAAAAAGTTCAATCAATCAATTCCAACTTTGCAAGATCTTTTTTTTCCCCACGAGAAGTTGAAATTGACTGATTGAACTTTTTTTTTTTTTTGCACCCAGCGGTGGAGGCCTAAAGTGAAAAGGTTTTATAAAACCCAGCTGAAGGCCTAGGACTGGGGCGACAGCGTGCGTGCCCACAGAGAGGGCTCCGAGTGCCGCCTCTGGCACCCGTGCCATAGGTTCGCCACCACTGTACTAGCAGTTTGATGCTTATAAAACAGCACAGAATATTTATACAGAAATGCCAAGATTCACTTTAAAAGCCACTTTAGCTTGTGGCTGCTCAACGTATTTTTCCTGGCTGCTTCTTGTCCTCTGCTTATGGCACATAATAGCCAACAAGATGGCTTTCTTGCAAAAGGCTGTTTCTATCTGCTACTGCCATATTCTCCAAGGTGAAAGGGTGAAGAGAGGTAACCTAACAGTCTAATGATATTTCTAGTGAATTCACAAGTCTGCCACTTATCCTTTTTCTCTAGGTCTCCTCCAAAGACCTCCTCTCCCTCTGCTAGCCATTAGCTATCATGCTGAAGAAGGGGACTCCGAGAAAGAAAAGGATGAGGATGATCAGCTGGAAGAAAATGTTGAACTGGCAGAGGCTGAAGAACACATCCTGGAACACTTGCCTCCTAAACTGAACCAAGGTAAGATCTTTTGTTGGAAAGTTGCTGTATTGCTTTGTCCCCAATTTAACTGAACTGTTCATGTTCTAAGTCAGTTTTTCCTCATTTGGCCCTCCTCCAGATTCATTGACTTCAACTCCCAGAATTACCAGCATGACCATGGCTGAGAATCCTGACAGTTGAAATCTACACATCTGGAGGGCATGGAATGGCTGTTTCAAATATGCTTTTTTTAAAGAAAGCAGATAAGCAAATTTTCAAAGAAAATTTGTCCACATGTAGATGTAATCATTGCTCTTGGAAGGGGACAAGGAATTCATAAAATTCCTGTACCAATCTTTGCTCAAGATAACCACAGGCCAAATTTAAATTCCTGGTTCTGTTGAGGAGCTTCTTGATCCAAAGGTGCTTTTTCAAGAAGCAACTGAACTGTCTTATTTTTCTTTGAAGACATTTCACTTCTCATCCAAGAAGCTTCCTCAGCTCCAACTGGATGGTGGGGAATGGAAGGATTTATATTCCTTGCAGAACAGCTGGTCATTTGCATTCTTTTAGAGAATTGTTGAGGCCACCTGGAGATTTACCTGTGTCTTCAGGGTCACCTGTGTAGTGCAAATGGGTGTGGAGCCTTTTTGGGACTGCTGAAAGGACTGTGTTGTAGACTAGAGGTAAATGATGTCATATCCCTCCCCTTCTATTGAGAGAGGGCTGCTCAGTTTTGATATAGATGGCCTCTTTGACCCCCTCGTTCAAACCAGTGGTCCTCTCTGTCCAAAAAGTGGACTTTGTTATCAAAAGAGTGTCCCATCAGGACAAGATTCAGCAGTCCATCTGCATTTAAAAGACAAAGGTGACTCTTTTGAAGACAAGTTTTCAGGACCACCAATTGGTGTTGTTAAAATCAAAGAGCTGTCAGTTTCTTTAACAGAGCTGTGAAGAAGCTGTGAAATTATGTTCACAAGATGTTTGTGAACATAAGAGAATCAGTTTGGAATAGTGGTGAAGGTGCTGACCTAGTTACCAAGAGATTCTGAGTTCTAGGACTCCTTTAGCCATGAAAGCTAGCTTGGGTGACTTTGGGCCAGTCACTCTTTCAGCCCAAATCATTTCACAGGGTTGTTGTTGTGGGGAAAACAGGAGGGTGAAGCACTATTAAATATGTTTTCTGCCTTGAGGTATATTTTAAAAAGGCAAGATAAAAAAACTGATAATAATAATAATAAATATCCAGACTTGAATATCACTGAACAATGATTAGATCAAAAGAGATTCATTACCAAAAATAAAATATTTAGGGATGTAGAACTGGAAGAGAGAAAAATTATGAAAGTGGAAGACCCAAAACAACTGTAGAAGTGGAAGAAATTCAGATAGCAATTCTAAATATAAAGGAAAAAGCGGGTATGAACTGTAGAAATGATAATTTGGTTAGTTAATAACAACAGAACCAGTACAGGCCAGCACTGAAATAGACTGTGAATTGACCTCCCTAACAGAAATAAAAGAAAAAATTATGGCCTATGCAGAATTATTAGTAGAAAGACAAAGACTGCTAGCATTAAGAGTAGCATTAAGACCTGGCATCTATAATGAAAATGTGAATAAGGTGCTTACAAGGATTAAAATAACATTTATCAAACAGACATTTATCAGCTCGCCTACAGTACAGCAGTGGTGGTTACAAAAGTATCGAAATTAGAAAATCAAAATCATATTCAATCCCAAAGTGGAAGATCAGACTGGAGGCTCAAATAAAAAAACTAAGATCAGATGCAAGTAATTTAAACAAAAGAGCAAAAATTGAAGAATGCAAGGATCAAGAGAAGCCTAATTTAAAAAGTATTGGTTTAGCACCAGAAAAATTGAAGAAGCTTTGGAAATCATAAAGCAACAAATAACAGCAGTGGCAAGAAAAATTGAACACCATGAGGCACAAATCATCCAATTAAAGTAAAATCAGTTATTTCAATGAGTATAAATGACAATAAAAATTCTGAAAATGGAAAACCAAACAAAAGGAAATAATTCAGTTTTGGAAAGATCTATGGAAAATTCAAAAAATACTATACTAAAAATGATGGATGGATAAAAGAATTTGAAGATGAATTTAGTAAAAATCAAATGGAAGAACTAATGACAGCAAAAATGGTTAAGAATTGAGTGAAAAGGATTTAAAATTGGACAAGTCCTGGAAATAATCAGTTGCATGGCTTTTGCCTCAAATATCTGACTACTTTACATCTAATTAAAGCTAAACAGCTTAATGAAGCATTGCATAAGGAAAACATTAGTGACTGCTTAATGATAATAAAATGTATCTGATTCAAAAAGACCCAGAAAAAGGGACAGTAACAGGAAACTACACTAAACTATTTTTTAGTTGAATTTTCCTTCATTTAGAATCTTGTGAAGTAGTAATAGGGGTGTCATTTAAGTTGTGGATATGTGCAAATTTAGGGAGGGCTTATAACAGACAAGGTAAAACTTAACATTCAGGAATAAAATCTTTTGCAACTGGATTAGAAGTGCAATAATTAAATGCAATAAACGGTTGAATTTTAAAAGAATCATTGGTTTCTGTGCTCAAAACTTGGCAGGGGACATTGTTTTAATATACCTTCTCCATCTGCAGCACTTTTGGAAGCCTGTACTGAGAGGAGGGGATTATTCACTTGCATTGCCAATCTTCTACCTGTGCGTCTGGCCTCTACTTTGATGCTACCATATACTCTTCCTCTAGAGTCTGCTCTCTCCTTTACAGTCAGGTATGTTCTAAATTCCCTTCTCTGTGGTAAGAGAACATTAGTAGGATTTGCATTGGATGTTGAATGCATTTACAGCAGTCAGCTAAAAAATTAGTATTTAACTGCATTTCTTTCTAATAAGCAAAGGTGGAATACATTTAGATCAGGCATGTCAAACTCGTGACCTCACGTGACGTCGCGCAACGTATCGGGCCGATTTTGCCATTGCCGGCAATGGGGTGGGCGTGGCTTCCACGTGATGCGTCCGGCCCGTGGGCCGGCAGTTTGATATCCCTGATTTAGATGAAATTCCTTCTGAGTCAGTGACATCACCTTTGCTACAGTTAGAATGAGCCAGAATTTACATTTTAAGATTTTGGGGTGAGAAAGTTTTGTATCCTGCTGGGTTGCAAATTTTGAAATTATATAGGTAATTTCTTAGAGAGAAAAAGCTTTCCTGCCAGTAAATTTAAATTTGGGTCTAACTCTTCAATTTAAAATGTAACTTTGTGAGGCAGTGCTTATCTCACTGCAAGGCAGAATCTTATTTTTTATGCTGCAAAATGAATGTTTATTTTGTTTACCTGCCATCAAGTCAGTGTGACTCTTAGTGACCACATAGACCATTTTTCTCTAGGACAGTCTGTCCCCAGCCCTGGCCAATTTTTATTTCTATAGCATGTCACAGGAAAAACCATTGCTTGCCTCATTCTGAATATCTTGGCATCTGAATATCTTCTCTTTCTAGGCTTTCTCGTTTAACAACAAAAACACAACTACAAAAGAAAAATTAACAAGCAATTAAAGGAGTATCTAACTCTTGTGTCAAAAGCTCTAAAAAGGGTCTTGATTTTGCCTTTCAGCACATAAAGACAAGAAAGCAGATTATAGTTATTTTTCATATGATTTCACTTCTTTGTCTAATGCTGTGCATCTTTTTGTATTGTTTTAGTAATGGGGGTGGGGGGGAAGGAGGGGGAACAAATAGAAAGGAAACAAGGAAAAGAACAGTAGCCTAGATGCTATAGATAGGAAATGTTTCAGCCTATTTTTAAACACTTCATTAAACCTTGGCCACATGGAATAATATTGATTGGTCTTTCCATTACATCAGAGAGAACCATGTCATAAAGAGACAGCAAACACATAGTGGCAATCCAAGATTTTAAATTTTGGATCACACTATCTTGCCAACAGTGAAGAATAGTTTGTTTTGCTGATCCCCATTTGATATATCATAATTTTTAATTTCACGATACATTCTAAGGTTATATATCTAATTAAAAATACATTCATTTCTTTAACCTGTATTGAACTTTGTAACACCATGCTATCAAAGATCATAATATACAATATTTTAAGACCCCAACCATCAATTTGTTAACATGAAATATTCTAACTCTTTATTCCTTTTTTTGCAAATCTTAGAGATGCTCTTTAATTGATATTAAAGTAGTATAGCCGTTAGAGTAATCCAAAATGCATTCAAACAGTGATAATAATTTTAGAATTTAGTTTAGATCAAGTGCTATCAATTGTACTGACTGTTAGCAACCACATGGATAAGATTCCTCAGAATGCTCTAAGCTTGATCTTGTTGATCTCTCAGTGTCCATTCATTGTGTTTGTAATCAAATTTATCCCTCTTGCTTCTGGTCATGCTCGTTTTTTTCTTCAACTTTTCCAAGCAACATGGACATCACAATACTGTAGGATTCTGGAAAGACTTAGTTGCTCATGGCTTATGTGACAGCTGAGGCTTCGTCCAGATAGTCTCTAGCCCGATGCACACAGATAGACATGCATTTGACTTTATTTTTGTCTCAGAGGAATTAGTATATGCCCCGTAGCTGAAGGTCATTATTCTAAATCCTTTGCTGTGGTTGGATCATTTCTCATCCAGAAAAGATTTGTTACTCTAGGACAGGGGTCTCCAACCTTGGCAACTTTAAGATTTGTGGAATTCTGGGAGTTGAAGTCCACAAGTCTTAAAGTTGCCAAGGTTGAGGACCCCTGCTCTAGGAATTTCCTAGATGAAAAGGCCAGTTAAGTGCTTTATGCATCCTGATATATTCAAATAGATATATGAGGGTTTCCTAGCAAAATGGCAGGCAGTTGCACTGACACTTGTAATGGGAAGGTTAGGAGGATGCCTGAGGTGATTGCCCCAAAGTGGTCCCCATGTTTGCCAGTCCCAGGATATTGTTTGGTTTTCTGAAGCCAACGCCTGCTTGTTTTCAAAGACAGCAATTATGCTGAAGTGGTTTATGGTTTTATAAAAATCAGGATAATAATAGCCATCACAGGTTGTTTTTTTCATTGAAAGTAAAGGCTGCCAAGACTGCAACTCACTACTTAGTATTTTCTTTAATGATCACAGGTTGACTATGTTACCTCCTGAGGCCTTGTCAGTTTTCAGCTGAGTTAGCAGATTTTTGTCCTTTGATGCTGCAATTGAAGTAGCTATTTCAGTAGAGGGCAAACATGAAAATAAGTAAAAATCAAGAGACTGTCCAATACGTTATAAAGTATGCATTGAGATAGCCTATTACAATACAGCCCAAAAGTGTCCAGTCCCTTGATATGACTGATAGTATTCATTGTTGCTTATGGCTTTTAGAAGAAAGGGGAAGACAAAGGGATGATTAATGGTGAGATCAAAAAAAATTACAGAACAGGCCTGGGAAGAGCTACAAATTGTTGTTGGAGAGAGGTCACAAAGTACTTGAGGTTACCTAGCGTTGACTCTGACTTGATGGCATCGGAGTAACTTTGCAGTTACATGGGGAGAATGCTATAGGGAAGTAGCTTCTATACAGTGTATAATGACCTTTCCAATTCTGGCGACCGATTCTCATACTAGCACTGTTTTTTAGCCGCTTAATTAAAGTGTTGCAAATTTTAATTGGCATGTGCTTTTTTAGGAGTTGCTCTAATTACTTTGGAATTGCTTGTCACAGCTTTGTGCATTACTGTAACCTGCAACCTATGATTTTCAGTGGACATGAAGATAGATAGACAGACAGACAGACAGACAGACAGATCAATAATCTTTATTGTCATTTTTTTTTACTATGGGCACAATGGCACACATTAAAAATGAAATTTAGTTGCTTGCTCTCAAAATGTACATATACAAAACACACATTTAAACATACTATGAACAACATATATATAGATCTATACCCTTACATATAAGTAACATATAAATATTAATCCCTGTCCATCTTGAATACATAATGGAAGGAGGAAGCTTTAGAGTTCACAAGGTTAATATTGTATGGAACAAAGCTGTGACTGAATCTGGATGTTCTGCTTCGGATACCATGGAGCCTCCTCCCAGAAGGGAGCAGGGAAAACAGGTCGTGAAGAGGATGTGTAGTGTCCCAGACAATCTTGCGGACGCTGCTCAAGCAACTTTTATGTGCTATGTCCTGGATGGAAGGGAGGGAGTTGCCAGTGATCTTTTCAGCCATCCTCACCACTCTCTGCACTGCCTTCCTCTCTGAAGCAGCGATGCTTCCAATTAAAGTAGTTATACAGGTAGTCCTCAACTTATGACCACAACTGAGGCCAAAATTTATGTTGCTAAGTGAGCAATTTGTTAAGTGAGTTTTGCCCCATTGTGACTTTTCTTGCCACATTTGTTAAGTAAATCACCACAGTTGTTAAATTAGTAACGTGGTTGCTAAGTGAATCTGGTTTTCCCATCGACTTTGCTTATCAGAGTATTGCCAAAAGTGATCATATGCCCTCCCAGAACACTGCGACCGTCATAAATGTGAGTCAGTTGTCAAGCATCCGGATGTAAATCACGTGACCATGGGGATGCTGCAATGGTCGTAAGTGTAAACAATGGTCACAAGTCACTTTTTTCGGTGCCATTGTAACTTCGAAAGGTCACGTGAGTCGAGCACTACCTGAACATTCTGCCTAATATTAGAATAATTTTGAATAGCAGTTATTGAATAACATGTTCCTATGGTCCTGAAGGCCCTCTGTGTATTCATCCAAGAATCATCCAGTTCAGGGGTAGGCAACCTCGGCTCTTTTATGACTCATGGACTCATGGACTTTGACTCATGGACTTTGACTCAGGAATTCTGGGAGTTGAAGTCCATGAATCATAAAAGAGCCGAGGTTGCCTACCCCTGATCCAGTTAATCTCCGTGGAAAAAAGGATGCTGGACTAGATAGATCTTTGATCTTTTCTAGCACGGTGGGTTTTATGCATGCACTTCCTGTTGATACAAGTGGCAATCCTGGGATGATTAGTTAGAAATTTCAGTTAAGTGCTTGAACCTGCTGTACTGTATTTTAACGTGTTTACAATATTGGAACAGGGTTTTTTCCAACTAACACTTGTGCATTGCACCTACCGACCATATTTAGGCTGCTTGAATGGCTGCCAGATGTTCCAGAGGACATCAGGTGGATGAAAGAACAGACACGGAAAGTCTGTCATTATTTCATGAGAAAAGCCAAGAAAAAGCTAGGAAGCCACCTTTCAGCCAGGTAGGATGGTTGCTTCTTGTCTCACATTTCCGAAGATAGTGAAACGTGAGGCACAATACAACGTTTTTACATAATTAATGCCATAGCATTATTGAATTGGGAGATTTTGCAGTTGTATTTGCCCATGCTTCGAAATTGATTTTGCAGTTGTATTTGCCCATGCTTCGAAATTGGTTTCTTTGGATTCTGATCCAGGTATGCATGATTATTTGCTTTGTTTTTAAAGCCAGAGACTGCTGAATGGTATATAAACCCAAGTAAGTATAACGAGCAAATAAAAAAACACATATTCCCCAGTCAGAATAATTCTGAATATAGCTGTGTTTCTATAATCTATCAGTAGTTATGAACATGGTCTCTATCACGGCATTCCAGCCTTGAATTGCCCTTTCGCTGAAGGCCAAGTGCTTTAACAACCACAACCTATGTGTCTGTGATTGTTTTTTAAATTGTGGTATATAGTGATTGCTGTTTTAATTTTTAATATATTGCTTATTTTTATTTTGTGTTATTGTTTAAGATGGTGGATTTATGGATTTTAACTTGTCCTGAAATCCTTAAGATAACCGTCATGATAGAAATGTTCTACTGTAATAAATAAAAATACATAAATAAAATGTAAAAAAACCTAGTACAGTCCATTTCAGAACCAGGTAACAAAATCCACTTTCATGTCTGAATTAAATTTGTAAAGTGTAAAATAACTAAGGTCCATAAATGTTATATAGGATATAATGGAAGATACTCTACAACAGGGGTTCCCAACGCCCGGTCCGTGGACTGGTACCGGGCCACGGCATGCCAACAACCAGTCTGCACAAACAAGCAAAGCCCCATCTGCGGGATGCAGGCAGCACACAAAACCACGCACCCTATGGTCCACAGAAAAACCTCTCTCCACAGAACCGGTCCCTAGTGCCCAAAAGGTTGGAACCTCTGCTCTACAAGTCTACAGCTATAAAGGAGGAGCCAAAGGTTTATATTTTGAGAAACATTTTGGATTGAAACGAACTAAAATAACAATTCTAAGTAGGTTGTTCAAAGATTGTCATTATAGGATTATTGAAAGAGGTTCCAAATATAAGGTTGAGAAAATAAAAAATTCAGCCCATTATTTTCACACCTGTTCCTTGTCAAGGGTCATGATAATACCGGTAGATCACGGTACATAATGAAGGAGCAAGGTAATTATTACTGCAGGCGTGGGTGATATGTGCTCTCCAGGTACTTATGAAAGAGAACTCCCATGTTCCCCACACAGCATAGTAAAGGATACTAGGGGTTGTGCCATTCCCTACTCTTGTTGCAAAGTTACTGTTAGGTTTTATCTCTCGACCAGGAGCAATCATAGTTTCAGCTGGAGACATACATTTTTCTCAAGCCCTTGGTTGGTAGCATTATTGGGAGTTTGGGATCTACTTTATCACTGTAGAGCAGTGGTTCTCAACCTTTTTAATGCCGCGACCCCAACCGGTCGTAAGTCGAGGACTAAACCGGTCGTAAGTCGAGGACTAAACCGGTCGTAAGTCGAGGACTTTCCCTGCCCGGGAGCGCCGCACATGCGTGGTTCCGCCCCCTGCGCCGGCCGAGGCGTAGCTGGCAAGCGGCAGAGACGGAGCAGGCTGACCACCAGCTGGCCCAGCCCAAGGGAGGTAAGGCACCTGCCGGAAAAGGGGAAAAAATGGCGGACAAAAAAATGGCGGACAGCCTTGCTTGGTGACCCCCGTGAAATGGTCGATCGACCCCAAATGGGGTCCCGACCCACAGGTTGAGAACCACTGCTGTAGAGGCTCTTTCCCAGAGGCACCGGTTCTTATCAAAGACTCCCCTGTACACCTTCCTTTCTCAGAGGTCTCTGAAAGTTTCTTCCAAAACAAATGCAGTTCAAACGGTATTTTCTCCTAATGGGCCAAGAAAACAGGAAGGTGACAGTAATGAGAGCCTCAGGGAAGAACATTCTGTTCCTCCCTTCTATCCCTCTGCAATGTTAACTTATCTTGCTGACTTTTCTGTGTTATTACATGATGCAAAGGGGCAGTTTCAATGGGACGTATACTGCATCTTTCTCTCCCTTTTTTTCCTTCTCCATTCCCCTTCCATTTTTATTTATACGTCAACGCCGGGAACCCAAGTGTGTTAAATAATACTTACCAAAATAGCATGGCAAACTTTTAATTCTTCTCTCTTTCTCTCTTAGGCTGTACTACCATCTCGAACTCCGAAAAACACAGAGTTTGGCCGTCCCTTTGGGCACTGCTTATGGGGAAGCATTGCCAAAATGGCTAAGGAACAGTCTCTCGCTAACAGACGTTATGACAAAATGGGAAGAATACCAGCGCCAGCTGATGCTAGGGCTGTTCTGCATCAACGTGGACCTGCAGGCCTCCATCTTCCCATCAGACGGGCTGCAGATGAGGCACCCACCGGCAAACTGCACAGAAGAGAGCCTTCAGCTCTTTTAATACAATCATCAGAATCTGGTTGTGGGGAAGGGGGAAAGAAGGTGGGCAATGACTGCATTTAGCAGTTTTCTAATGGAACTCTTTCACAATCACAGAGGGGTTTCTCCTCCCCTCACAATTCAGACAGGGTATTGATAACAAAATAGGCAATTGTGCCGTAACTAAGCAGACGGCTGGCACAATGTAAATACCCACCAAAATGTGTTGGGTGTTGCATATTTTCTGGGAGACAGTAGTATAAATAACTTGACAACTGCAACAGAAATTGTTGATGCTTGGGCTGAAGTGAAAAGAATTTTATTCAGGGCACCTCTTCGACTGTTTATAATAAGAAGACTGGGACATCATCAGGATTCTAGGTTTTGTTTTTAATCCCCCTTTGTTTTAAATCAATATTATAACATGATTTTGTTGTTAAAGACTTGAGTCCTCTGGGATCATCCTTCTTTGTGATATGATGCAGTAAAAGAAAAGCCAGCAAGAGCTATCAAATCAGCTCTTAAACCAAATGAAGTCCTAAATTTTCACTCTGTGTTATAATGCAGTAAAAGGAAAACCAGCAAGAGCTACCAAATCAGCTCTTAAACCAAATGCAGTCCTAAATGTTCACTCTAAGTAGAGACACCTTATGCTTCTTGTACTATATTTTCTTGTAAATTTGGGTGGATGCCTCTATGTCATATGTAAAGAATGCAGCTAATCTTTAGACTACTGGGGTTCATGGCCTACCAGTGGTGGCGAACCTATGGCAAGAGTGCTAGAGGCGGCACCCAGAGCCCTCTCTGTGGGCACGCGCCCCATCGCCCCAGCCCTGCCTCCCCCCACAGCTCCCCCCTCACCAGAAGCCCCCCCAGAGGAGAATCACCAAGGACATGGCAGCCAGGCAGAAGGGACAAGACTCCGCCCTCGCACCCCATCACGTGCAGATGATGCTGCGGGGTGCGGGCGGAGGGTGTGACCACCATGGCGCTACAGGGCCGCCTGGCCGATCGGCGGGCCGTGAAGGTGGTAGATGGCCATGCGGCCGGGCGGGGGGGCAGGGTTTTTTTGGGACACTCGGTGTCTAAAAGGTTTGCCATCACTGGCCTACCAGCTTCTAGGTCCTTCTATTGTAGAGTAATGAGGAAAAAAAAATAGAAGTTTTAAAATGTGTACTTAAGTCCCATTTCATTTGGATGAACTGTTTTTTAAATTATCTTAAATCTTAACTTGTACAATTGCAGAAGGATGTCAAGAAGGCTAGACGGGATCAACAGCTAAGTCAGTGTAATGTATGTTTTGAAATGGTTTGTGACAGGATTAGTTGGCCATTTGAGAAAGAAGAAAAGAGCGTCTGATTCTAGTTGCAAAGGAATATGAAGTTCTTAAAATCCAGAAGCCAAAATGTGCTCTGATCTAAATGGATTTAAGTTGGCTTGTGTGGGATCCACATCACTTGTGTCAGTGGTGAATGTGGCCCCTTTCGGAAGTTGACTGCTCAGCAGAATTGCGGAAATTAATTGTCTTGCACTGAGATGGAAATAAGCAGGGTCTGAAGTCGAAGGCCCCAAAGGAGGTGATAGTTTTGCAGGTATCGAAAGTTATGGTATTGCATAAAGAGGAGGAACAGGATTGGCTTGTAAGTCAGCTGAACAAAATGGGTCCCCCCCCTTCCTAGCACTTTTCCCCCTCTAGTGCAGGGTCCACTTTTTCTCAGATTATAGGAATTGATTGACTGGTTTGTCGCCCGAGCCTGATGTTATGTGCAGAGAGTGACTGTCCCAAAGTCATCCAGCTGGCTTTCACGCCTAAGGTGGGATTAGAATTCACAATCTCCTGGTTTCTAGCCTGGTGCTTTAACCACCAGACCAACCAAACAGGCTCTCTGCTGAACGAATTTGAACGCATATCCTTATTTCAATCTTTTCATGCTAAACCAGTGGAGCTGGTTTACTTCAATTACTGTGAAAAAAACCCGTCATGTTGGTAGGTTAACATAGAAGTATTTTTCCCTTCACACATAGCTCAAGAAGGATATCTGGTATACATTATCCATTTCTTTCATAAGCCTTCTTTACAGCAGTTGCCTATTGCCATATATGCACAAAATGAAGCACTCTGGTTAATGCACAAGCCTTTTCTCGCCACCCCTTACCAGCTGTCTTGTGTCTATCGTTAATTATCACCAGCACAGTACTTGATCTCATCTTTCACTGCTGCTGTTTTCTTCCTGCTACTGTATACATAGCATGGCAAATATTCATTATCGTATAGCGATATTGGTACATTTCTAGTCACTGCGTGTGAGACTATATGTAGAGTGCTTGTTACAGTTTTGTACCTTTACAGAATGAAGTATTTGACGCTGCAGGAAAAAAAGGTTGGGTACGTTTGTTTTGGAGGAAAAAAAGATTGGTTTTCTTTGCACTTTAATGACATTTCTGTTTTTCTCCTAATACAGAACTATCTGTTAAATTCCAAAGGTAACACAATGGATGGAAGGAAAGGGAGAGATAAAGATTGCTTAGAAATAAGTTAATAGTAATAGAATTTTAAATACTACCAGAGAACAAAAGAGATAAATCTGAGTAGAAATGCTTTATTATATAGTTGTATTTGTGCTCTTAGTAGACTGCAACAGATTACTAACTTTAAGTAATATGAGCAATAAGTGACTCTATATTAGCAAAGCCCATGAGATACACATGCTTTTTTTTTTCTGGAAAAAGAATGGTTAAAAGTGGCTGAAACCAGGATAATCGCATTGCTCCAGGAAAAGAACCTGGGAGCAAAATACGTTCAATGGCACTTCTAGCAATGCCTTCACTTGTAAAATATGCACAAATGAATATGCACAAATATTAAAAATCAGTTGAGAATGAAGTGATTTTATAAAAATAGGCTCAGTGTCAGAAAAAAAAATCCTTTGCTGTCTACTCATTTGGCATAAGGGCCTGCTTTTAATCTCTGCACCAGTATTTCCTTTACACATCACTGGAAGAAGTGGTGCTATGAAGAATGAACACTTTGCAACCAGGCAGGATGGGAGTGGTCATCAAGTTTGGCAATGAACAGTGGCTCTCCTATACATTACATAAAGACTTAAGAGTGGCGAGAGTACACTGTTTTATCTGCCAACATTTCCTTTAGGATAAGCAGTGGTAGCAAATTGCAAAACATTCAGAGCACCTCCACAAAATCGGAGTTCCTGGTCTCTGAGACCACTAGTGAATTTTGATAATTTTTCCCGTGTTACTATGTTTGGATGAGTAAGTACAGCAGCCACTAACTTTTAGTGCAGAGGAAAAGAAAAACCCTATCCCTCTTCACTAATATTAAAATGAAGAGGCTGAGCAAAGGTAGAAATTTTCTTTGGAGGAAGAAATGCTGTTAAAATTGCTTTTGGACTGAGCTGTCACATACAAAGATTCATGCTGCCTATTCTTCCTATATATATATAATTACAAGAAGGATATAAAATAGATATGCAAAATCAAAGCGTTTCCTCTATTAGCAATATCTCCTGTGCGCAAAAGATCCTTTTTATAAAACTCTGCTGAGGAAGGAATAAGTATCTTAACCCAAATAAATTCCATGGGCATCGCATCATCTCAGCTTCCCCACATACGTAAAAGACAACAGTGCCATGTTCTGGTATTGTGAAATAGTTGGAAAAGCCTGATTTTGCTTTTAAGTTCTAATAATAGGCACCAGAGTTCCCCCCCCCTTCCAATACTATAATGTGAATGTCATTTGTTGTCTCTTAACTGAAAATGTGCCAGTGTTTGCATGTCTTTAACCACTAAGTTATTCAACACTGTACTCTATTTTGAAATGTATTGCACAATTATATAATCTTTTTTTAAAAAAATAAAATTGTAAGCTGCTATTGCTGCTTCAAATGCAGCTATTGTAATGCTGGGATTGTATTTGTTGCTAATACACTGCACTGTAATTTAGACAGCCCTCTTTTTAGCTAGCTCTCTTAGCTCTTTGAGGATAATCAGGATTTTAAAAATAGTTGGTTTTATAAAACAAAATATAAAATTGTTTAATTTTATATGTATATGTTAAAAGTGTACGTTCAAATGTTAGTGCCAAAAACTGGTATTGCAACAGGTATTGGAGTTTGACAGCAAAAACACGTACAGGTGCATTGATTTTCTTTTAATTAATAATAATAATAATGATAAAGTTGGAAGGGACCTTGGAGGTCATCTAGTCCAACCCCCTGCTCAGGCAGGAAACCCTATACCATTTTGGACAAATGGCTGTCCAGTTTCTTCTTAAAAACTTCCAGTGTTGGAGCATTCACGTCTTCTGGAGGCAGGTTGTTCCACTGGTTAATTGTTCTAACTGTCAGGAAGTTTCTCCTTAGTTCTAGGTTGCTTCTCTCTTTGGTTAGTTTCCACCCGTTGCTTCTTGTCCTGCCTTCAGGCGCCTTGGACAATAGCCTGACTCCCTCTTCTTTGTGGCAACCCCTGAGATATTGGAACACTGCTATCATGTCCCCCCTCGTCCTTCTCTTTGTTAAACTAGACATACCCAATTCCAGCAACCGTTCCTTATATAATTCTAAATAATATAATTCTTATATAATTATATAATTCTTATATAATTCTAAAACTTAAAAATGATGTAGGCAATGCTCCCAACTAATTTTAGTTTTAGTCATAATAAAAAGAAAATAGAAGCTAGAACCAACAAAGTATCCACAGGGTAAAGCCAACCAGCCTATCTCTAATTTCTTAAAAAGAATTTGGTGCATCAGATTTAAAACTCTTTTGAAATAAACTGATAACCACTTACATCACCTTGTTTGACGTGGCAGATAGAAATTTGGTCAAGTTGAAAAGCAGCATTTGATTACATCAGAAGCTGATGGAAGATAAGCTTGTCTTGTTAAGTTGCACAGTTTTAAGATTCCACAGTGCCTTTTTTTAGAAAGCCAAACAATTTACATCTTGCTGCTGCTGTTACCTTTATGGCATCTATAGTAGTCCTCAACTTATAACCACAATTTGGACCA